ATCGGTCGACGATGGGACGTGGATGTGTGAATCTTGTATTTTGTTAATGAAATTTGAATGCAACCAAGCATGTTGGTTGTTGACTTTTTGCCAATCCGTAAATTGGACAATTTTTGTCCATTTTGGTGCGCCACGAGCCAACAGCGACAACCCTAGAATGATCAAGCACGATGCGTACATGTAGAATTCTATATAAAATGGCACACTATTTCGCATGAAATTGCGATACAATCATGGCGTTGTCGCTTCAGCAATGCGAAGGGCGCTTGGCGGGGGTCCGTCTGCGCTGTCCTCCCGAAGCGGAGGCATCGATGATGATGATGGGCGGTGGGCTTCGGTCGCCTGCTCCTCGTTGATGTCAAGAGGGAGTTGGAGGGCGCTTCCCACGCTCGCCGCCAGCGCGCCAAGAGCTGTCAAGATGGCTCCACCGATCGAGTCGCGAATGACTTCGTCGCAGCGCGCACCGTGAACAAACTCAAAGAAGACCATGTAATCGGTGCGGGCGCGGCTTGGCGGCGTTATGGGCACGCTGAGCTCGTCCAGCAAGAGCGCCGTTCCTTCGTCCAGCGCCGTGCCTCGCCATGCATGGGCGACGACCGCCTGTAGCGCCTCTACGTGGGCTCGCAAGCGCACGCTGAGATCCGCAAAGAGGACGGCTTCGGTGCCACAGCGGCAGTCGATGGCGCGCGCGATCTCGAGAGCGACTTGCTTTTTGAATTGGCCGAGCACATGCACGTCCGGTGCACTTAGGGTTTTGGCGTCGGCGATCGGCAGTTCTTCGAGCATTCTCTGGGTGTCATTTAACGGCTTGTAGAGCGATGCCTCGAGCGTTCGTAGTGCTGACTGCCATGCGAGCCGCAGCGCCGCATTACCGACCACCGACACTGCCTCGTCGTCGCTCAGCGGAAGGTCACGCATCCGAACCGACTCGGCAAACACGGGGTTGCGCACGGTGGGCCAGAGGTCCATGAGGTGGCTACGATCGCTTGCTGAGAGGTACGACTCGAGCCGGAGAACGCAGCGTGCGTAGCCGACGAGGGCTTGCGTGCGTGCGCGTTCGAGTCGACAATTGACGGTCTGGCTCATCATAGCGATGAGCACGTTCAAGAGCAAGATGGCGACGACGCCCGAGTGGCACATCATGATGAGCGCCGTGACCGAGTAAAGAACGCCGTACGGGTCGGTGGTAGCATCAAATGCTGCAAGTGCGTCGATCTGTAGCGCGCCAAACGCGACAAAGTACGTCGTCATGAACGCCTGGGGGGGCGTGTTGAACTTGGGCGCGTTCACTCGAAGAAAGAGGAGGTAGTAGGCCACCGAGAGCGCGAGCTGGAAGACGCCAAAGAACATGAAAAAATTGCCCACGTCGCCGAGGAGGTCTGAGAGGATCGGGAGGAGGTACCCGGCGCTCAGAACGACTTCAATGCACTGGACGGACGCGACACCGAGGATGAGCGAGATTGAGCTGCCGAGCGCGACGTAGATTTGCCATTGCGTCTCGATCCAGCCGAGGTGCATGGGCACAAACACGCTCAAGAGCGTCGTAAAGACTGCACACTCGGCGACGTTGAGCGGGGACGCCCAGTACGTCCGCGACCGCATCTCGTTGCGCTCGCGCACGAGCCCCGACGCCGCGGCCAACCAGAGCGCGATTGCATTGAGCGTCGGGTACCAGTCGCGGCCGTTGATTCCGAGCTGCCACACGAGCGGCGCCGCGATCGCGGTCGTGAGACAGACCACGGCGATGAGCACGCCGGCGTACACACGGCGCTTGTAGGCCGCCAGCTGTGGCATGACGACAAAGGTGCGCGCGGTCGATCTGTCGTGGAAGAGCCGCGCGAGCCGCCAGAGCAGTTGCGGACGTAGTGCTTGGGCGCCGAGATAGCCAATGCCGCAGAGCACGAGCGACGTGAGCGTCACGGCAGCAAACACTTGAACGCTCTCAAAGTCCGTGCCGGGCGAGAGCAGCGTCGCCATGACCGAGGTGAGGACGAGGCGCGTATTGAGAAGGAGTTGCTCCGTGTACACGCGGCGTCCGCTGAGCTCCCACTTGATTTGCAGCAGTCGCGTAATGGCCACGTGCTCGAGGCACATTTTCTGCGCCTGTGACCCGCTCGGGAGCTCAAGCAAAAGGTGCAGCACGCTGCTCTTGGTGTCGCTCACGCCGTTGACCGTCTCCATCTAGGTTGTGTGTGCATCAACCATAGATTTGGCTCCAGTACATGGCTAAAATGCACATGGCGGCTCACGAGACGGGCGCAACCGTTCAAAATGCTGCGGCCAAGGTCCCCGTCGTACAGGATCGCGCTATGGAACCAGTCCGAGTTGAGCGCTTCGTCCGTAGGGATGTTGGCCAATCGCGCGGCAAAGGTCGCTCGGTACGTCGCCGATTTGCGACGCTCCATTTCCGAAAAGATCAAGTCGCGAATGTGCCGCCGGGTATTGTGGTTCGGACCCTTGTCGCCGTCGATGTCCAACGCGCGCTCCATCACATCCAGTGCCGTTTCGCCGCGCTACGTCAAGACAAGTTGCCCATTAGTATGTTGTACGACGTCGTACTTTGTTGGTGACGCCAATGTTGTTCATGTGTACGAGGAGCACTTCGACGACGGCCACGTGGCAGTAGAGGGCGGCGATCGAGAGCGCTGTCTCGCCATACTATACAATCTTTCATCTCGGTAGTCGCTATCAAAAGAGGTGTACCCGCGTGCGCATGTCGGTGCGCGCGCCGAGCTCGATGAGGGCGACGACAAAAGCTTGCTTGCCACGCTCCGCGGCGAGGATCAGCGGCGTCTTGCTATCCTAGAAAGCAAAGTCATCGTGTAGTCCTTGGCTGGATGGACGCACGGCGTCGCGGTGGTTTAAAAGACTTCGACAGTCCGTAATGCGCTCGAAAACACTCGGGTCTGGCCCGTGTAAGACCGCGACATGCACGAGCGTCATCTTAGCCTGTCCAAACCAGGTGTGTCCATATGTCCTCTCCACATTGTCTACCTTCTTGGTGGCACCTATGTCTTGGATGTCGACCACGCCAACGTTGACGTACTCGGGGTAGTCGCGCTGCAGCACCTCCTTCTCTGCGTGGAAGGTCACACAGTCGCGAACAAGGGGTGCCGACTCGAGCTCTGTCCTCTCCGCGTCCTATACGCAGTGTCAATACTTGGTCACGCCTACGATGCAGCCTACCGACGCATGCTCGGTGAGCACGGGTGTCGGCAATGCCCCAGCCTTCAAGAGGCACAGCGCGATGTCGCTGTGGTGGTTCAAAATCGCGATGGCAAGGGGCGACCCGACACCCTAGTGCACGATAACCTTGTCATCTCTCGAGAGAACAATGCCTACTTGTTCCGGCGGCGCGTTGAGGTCCACGGGTGGATCTTGCGATAGCACCAGCTCGAGATGACGCACGTGACCAAACTCACAGATCCGAGAGAGCGTTTTGGCGGCCTACGTCATCCTGGTTCCATGCATGTTCGACGCCCTGTGGTACCAAGTCGGGTGTCGCAGCTGCTTCGAAGAGGTTGGGCGTGATGGCCAACAGCATTTCGAGCTCCTCCCAGCGGTAGCCATCGAGGTAATCTTCGAATTGTTGCAGCGTCTTCTTCGGGGATGCGTGCACGAGCGATGGAGCCTACCACCACCATATCATTCAGGGAGTGCGCTAGTACCAGCGGTCACCATTGGTACGTCGACGAGACGCGACTGCGTAAACTGCGTCAAGTACGTCAGCAGCCGAAGCGCCTCGTGGTTCACATTTCGTCGCTGCCTGTTCACGCCACGTACGCCCTGGATCGCGTGATCGAGCATCGATTTTTCTTTCTAGAATGACCTTTTGTACTTGATTCACATGCAAAGAATTATGTCGTACCGCATCGCGCATCTCGACGAATTGATCCATCGACGAATAGGGTAGCAGCGCCTGGACGACGTGAAGCCGGGCTTGCTTGACAGCGTGCATCAGCACGGTGCGACCACCCTATTTACCCGCTCTTGCAACGCTTACGACGTACTAGTATTCGGTACCACATCGCGGCAGGTCAAGGACGCCGCAACGTCAGAGCGCGCGTCGACGAGCCGTGCGTGCGCGGCGTCCAATGTCGCCGGCGTGAGCCGGGCGCTCCTGGACGCGGGCAAGTCTTTTTTGGGGAGCCATGGGGGCGCGACCAGCACACACTCGCTGACGCCGTCGACTTCCTGTAGATACACCCGCCCGTCGGCGTACGTTCCGACGTACACGGTCTCGCCCGTCTCGGTGACGCGGGTGAGCGAAATCGTGGACCCACGCATAACACCATAGTACGTTGGCGCCGTGACGGATGTGAACTCAAGGCCCAAGAGAGCGACCGACGCGCCGTCGTCATCGCCTTTGTTCTCAAACGGAAAGAGCTGGAGGCTCAGCGTGAACGACGGCGCGCTAAAGTCCTCGGTGGCCGAGACGACACGCCACGGCTCCCAGTTGTCGCCGCTGCTGGAATGGATGCCGAGACGGCGGCACAGTCCGCGGACGTCTCCATTGCGCGCCAAACAGTGCAATGGGTGGTCAATGCGAAAAGCCACTTCGCTCATGAGCTCGACGTTCTCCTCGTCTGTCTACGACAATGATCGTTGTACGTTATCAGTGGGAGACACGAGATGGCACCGTGTCGATGGTGGCGTTGGCCATGAGCAGCTGCTGCATCGTCTGCTGCACTCGGATGCTGCTGGGAAATGTCGCGGCGAGGCCAAGCGCCGTCTCGCCCGCCTACCAAATCGCTCAACCCTACCCTCAAGCATAGAGCTGTACGTTGTTTGTGGCATCGACGTCCGCGCCGGCTGCCACTAGAATCGGCACGAGATGACTGTGGCACACTCGCACTGCTTCATGGAGTGGCGTATCACCCAACTAGACAGCAGGATCGATGCCATTTACTGACTGCATCTCTTCGCGTACACGTGTCGCTGTCGTGACCGACGCTTTGTACGTGTCGAGCAGCAACGTCACAACGTCAACGACACCCGTCTTGACTGCCACATGCAGCAGCGTCTCGCCCGCCTACGACGCTGAATAAGCCGCGTCAGATGGCAGAGCTAGACGGACTGGTGTCACGGCTGCGTTAATATCGATGCCCTGCATCATCGGAAGGACCAAGGCGACGACGTTAGCATCCCGAATCTGCACGGCACAGAGCGGCAGCGAGGAGTACTACACATGTATGTACTCTAAAGTCAATGACAACCACGTGCAAGAGCAAACGTTGGGAATTGACTTTGCTGATGGCTGTGTCAGGACGTGTTGCAGCACCTCCAAGTGCTTGGCCTTGCACGCGACCGAGAGAATCGTTTCTTCATTCTACAACAACGCGTGTGGGGACTCTCGTTAATGGTTGGTAGCATGTACTAGTACGCACGTGGATATCTGCGAGGTCGATCGCGGATGTTGCGCTCTCCAAGCGCGCCACGACTTGATCTCGCTGGCCTTGCATAAAGAGTCGCACGAGGGGCGGGCCATCATAGGTGACCGACTCGGTCACGAGCGGTGACGCTACGTTGGGTACGGACGACGGCGCCACGCGGTGCCCGAACCACGACTTGGTGTTTTTTTGCTCCGCCATCGCCGCCGATCCACTGTCCGATGGGGAATGTGGTCGAAGGACGTTGTTTATCGAAGAAAAATCAAACGTTCGGTGGGATTTCCGTCGTAACAAGATACGACATCCACGAAGCAGAAACGAGAGCTTTCAAACGTTTGATAGCGTCACACGGTGACGTGTGCACGACCTTGATCGACGTTGCTCAAATTCCCGACATTTCCACATTATTCTAACCGAAATGCAGCATTTTTTTGTCCAAATTTCGTGAATTCCAATTGGTAACCAGGTTACAAAGCTTATGGCATAAACAGTACTTGGACAAGTACTCTGGACTAATTCGATTGGCTTTTGTGACCCAGGGTGGAAAAGAGTGGCAGTTGCCTCCGTTGCATGGCCGGTGTTTGTCCAGTTGACCACGTACTATGACGTCCAAATGATGCCACTTTGCACAAATCTTGCCCACATTGCCCTTTCCAATGTTCACACAATAGTCGAATTCAATTCACAAAATACACGATCCACATCCTACAGTCTCGCCCTTTTCTTTACATCTTGGGCTTTTCAACATCATCGTCGTCGTCGTCCACAAGCGGACCGTCGAGGGTCTCGTCGTGATCAAACTCTTGGCCGCGCTTCTCGGGCCCGAGAAACGTCAGCAGCGCCAGCGACCCGAGCACGATCGCCAAGAGGACTGCAATCACCTTGGCGTAGTCGTAGCGCTCGAC